AAGCATAGATGGCCTGTTGGAATATCCGTAAGGAACCGGGTAAGGAATATTTTCGTACAGGTCACAAGGGGTTGACTGGGCGCTTGATCGGTCATTTGCTTGCGGGACGCGCAGCAGCCGTCGGTGATGAGAGACACAAATCGTGAATGAGCACCGGCGTTCAAATTCAGGCCAGACAAATTTAAATGCCGCCTGTTCGGGGCTTCGTCACCTTTAACCGTGCAGAGGATCATCCAGAACCACTGAATATTCATCATTTCACTGACTTATTTAATATGTGGGGCGAAGAATGACGGCTCTGAAAGTCGGATTTGAAATGTGTGTCCTGACCGCGGATGCACGGTCACTGCCCAAGGGGTGACTAAAACCGGAATGATGGAGTAGCTAGTCAAGTGTCTGGGGTCCGGGCAAATGGCCATTTCGACTGGGTTTTCCATTCCTCACCCATTACAACTGGTTTTGGTGGTTTCGCGACCCATTTCTTATGTATTTTGAGTCTCAGAGTCCGAATATCAAAGATATTTGAGAAAATACCTGATCTTTAGGTGCTTTTGGAAGGTTTTGGTGTGTTCGGTATCTCCCGAGGCACGTGAACTGCACGTCAATAAGACCCAACAAAGCGTCGTGGTTTGTCGACTGCTCGTAATCCGCGATATTTCCACCAAAAAATTGGGCGCTTACAACCGGGCACTCTTAATGGGGTCGCTGTCAGCTCCGACTCAGATGCGTACTCAGCGGCGAATATAAATTTATGCGCATCGATATTGGTATTCGGGCTCACGTAATGGAACGAACCTTCCTGTCCCGCTACCGGCAACCTGAGGTGGAGAATATGCGCCGCATTTGCGCATGCCAGGTGAAACATCGGGAAGTCCATCAGGCTCGAAAAAAGTCCGGCTTCACAGGATTCTCACCTAATGAAACAGACAACTTCAAAAGGAACCTTCCCGTTCTTCAACCTGAGATTCACGGCAGCCGATCCGCATATACACACGCTTCGCTCATAAGCAAATTGCCTCACAGCGCGGAGTCGCAGTCACTGTCGGAATCGCCGTCGAGGAGCCCAGATTCGACCAACTCCGCCAGAAACGGCGATTCGACGCTGGCTGAACTCGGTGGAATGTGCGAGCCCGAACTGTTGGCCAAGACGAACTCGTAAAGTAATGCGTTGATCCTAAAGAGATGAGGCACCGGACCTGAACAGGGGAAATCGTCGTACTCATCAAGATGCGTGAGATTACCAAAATGTCGAGCGCCATCGAGGCAGCGGCGCAACAGAGCAATTCCAGGAGCTCTTCAGCATCGCTCAGCGGGTATGCAATATCGTCGGAGCAATGGACGAGTACGATTGGACAGCCAATTCGCGAGAGCGTCTTACCGTTGATTAGAGAAGATGAAGTATAGCGTCGAGCTCGCGCCTACCATGAGACGTGGAGGCGGAAGGAAGAATTGCTATGGCGGTTGTCGTGGTAAGCGACGAGGAAAGCGTGACGCGGTATTTTCCGGAGCCAACACACCGGAGTTTACCGAGCGCTTAATCGAGCGCTTGTTCCCAGCCTGGAAAAACCATGAAGTCCCGGCTCGCCAGACCTTCATATTCGATACCTGCGAACGTGATTAGACATTTGCTCAGCTCGAAATTTAGGGAGACACAGGGTAGGTTTTTCTCGAACGAAATGAGTCCTCACTGTACACGTTGGATTGCCGAATTGCCCTTCTACTACTGCAGACGAGAATGGAAAATAGAGGGAGGGCTGGGAGTGAACTCAGTGCTGACCAGTGAATAGGGCAAAAAATTCTGATGGCGCAGACTGTAATCATATTCAAGCAACGGAATAAAGTGTAGGCGCGGTTCCACCACTATCAGGCTTTGTTACATCAGTACTAGTGCCACGGATGCGATTGTTGTCGCGCAGGCGCCGAACCGAGCCTGTCAATGCATTTCGGACGGCGGATGCGTAAATCACTAAGTTTATCTGGGAAATGGATGCCAGTGAACGAGATCTGAAAAGGAAGAGAAAAAAACAGTTTTCCAGAGTGGGATGGCCCAGGTTCGAGTCGAACGAGGAGTTCCTGCAGAATGGCTTAGTCGATGATTTACGCGACGCAGATGCGGCATCGCGTTTTCCACACTTTGCTTGTTTGTGCTTGTACGTGCTTGTACGTGCACGTACAAGGTCCGAAAGCTCGCAAGCTCACAAGACAACAAGCCAGGTCCAAAATCCCACAAGACATCAAAAAAAAAAAAAACCTAACCTATCCCATTAGATTACAGGCATCATTTCTGCAATATAATTTTTTCAAAACAAGATAAAAAGGTCGCAAGGTCACATGTTTTTTGTGATCTTGCTGATGGGTCCACCACTACCAGGCCTTCTTCTGGGACCTGCAGACTGGGTGAGATAGAGAAAGGTTGGGGAACGCACCGAGTCAGTTTAATGAGACGAGGGCTTGGAATCTCCCGTGTTGTATTAGGGAAGGCGCTTCATAATACTCGAGACGATGAGGAGTTTAACACTGCAGAGGGAGAGAGTCATGAGCTCCCAGAGAATGGGAAAAAAAGTACCGGCGGCGATTCACTTTTAAGGCCCGTGCTCGAATCGAACGATCGATCTCCTGAAAGCTCGGGACGGCAATGTTGCAGAGTCGGTCCAACCGTGAACAGGCCTTGTTCTGGGAATTGTTAACTCCAATTAACCAGGATTAAACGTGATCTGCAACGAGTGGGAAAAAATCTTGATTTTTTTGCCGTCAGAGGCCTAGGCTCGAATCGAACGAGCGATTCCTGCATTGATATCTGCACGGGATGTCCATATGCAGCAGGTGTGGACCATCCACAACCAGGCCTTAATTCTACACCTGCGAACTTGATTGGATGGTATTCAGTTTTCTGACCAGGTATCGGCAATAGCGCTTCGTCGTGAGTAATATTGATTTCCACCGAGTGCGCCGGCCAAGTTTACTATCGATGCTCATGGAAGGATATTGGCATATATCGTTGAATGTCCGATCCCAACGGTGACGGATTTTGCCCAAAAAGGGCCTCTATGCCCGTTGACATCCAGGCCCAAAATTGGTGAGTATAGCCCAAGCTTGAGTTAGGGAGGTGCCTGTTATTCAGTGCGGGATTTGTCCGTCAGCAGCGGCCGGAGAGATTTTGTTGGAGGCGCACCAATCACGTATACGGAGAATACAGTATGCAATTGCGCTCCAAGTCACTCCAAGGAGCCGCGTTTAAATAACGGATTTAAATCAGGGTGCGGTGAAGGCAGATGCAAGCGATCTTTCCTATTCCTAAGCTGAGACACTCCGTGTCGGATTAATTCCACCCGGATTCCACACGACGAGGACGGAGAGCCGGTTTGCTAACCACAAAGCACTCCCCAGCATCCGCAAATTCGCTCCAGTAGAGATGGCGGTGCGCGCCGAAAACGCCAGTCGATGTCGATGTTCTGTTTTTTGGATTTCCAGGGAATACACCTCCGTCGTGGGAATCGCTGAAGACCAGTGTCCCAAATCGCAGCAGGGGAAGATGGTGTAACATTCCCATTCGACGACGAAAAATACAAATACACGTCTGCGGAGAACCAAGCACACAATGTATCAGGTCTTTGGGCTTGACGGGTGGACGCACAGACATACCTATCTATGTACACGGTAATATTGATCTGCCGACATTGCGTTGCGACAAATGAACCGTACAACGCCCACCGACGCCTACGTCGGAAATGGGGGAGCCAGACCAGTACCATTATGCGCTGCCCCTCCAATGCAAGCTTGCGTGCTCAGTCCTCGTTCGCAACCCTAATCGAGAGAAGGTGCTCGCAGCGGGTCGGGTGACGCACCCATCCAGATTGCGGACGTCTCCGTCGTCGCCTGCGCCGCCCACGCGGGGGCGAGCGCGTGGATGCTGTGGTTAGGATTACCTACAAGAGCGCGTACGAGGTGAGCAGTCCCAGGCGTCAGCACCGAAGGTGAGGCCTAGTCGCCGCCGGGTCGTTCCCGTCGTGCGTCGTACGTCGGGTCGAGAGCGAAAGATGAATCACATCCGCCCGAGTCCGGTGGGCAGCGTGGGGGTATTGTCGGCCATGGGTTAAGGACAGAGGCCGTGCATTTCGTGTCCCTCACCGTGTGGCGTGCGCCATGGACGCAAGAGGCGCGTGCGTCCCGGCAGGACGCCCGCCCGAGTCTGGTTCGAGTGAAGCTGCGCGTGCTCGTCGTCGTGGCAAAGAGTGGGGTTCGCCGCTGGTCGTCGTCGGCGTGATCATTCTGGCAAGGGCGGACGGAGTGCGGACATCATGCTGGCCGGAGTCGTGGTCCTGGTCTAGGCCATCGTCGCACAGCGTAATTTCAGGAAGGAAGAGCGGAGGGGCAGGCATCACGCTCGCCGGCGTCCGAGTGGCAAAGGGCGCAACGCTGAGATCATCTCCGTCCTCGTCTTCATGCGCTGTAGTCCCAGCACGAGCCGGAGGCGGAGGAGCAACATGCGCGCCTAAGTGCGAGCGAGAAGCGCCTTCTGGCGAGTCGCCGTGCACGTGGCAACGGAGAGCGCGGGTGCAGAGGGTTGGAGCACGTGTACCGGCCCCCGGGCCGCGCTTCCGCACCTCCCTCTCTCTCTCTCTATCTTGCGTCCATCATGACCCGTCCTTAGGCTTCCTGGAAATCCGCAAGCACTATTGCCTTTTTCGCTCCTCTTTTGCGTCACGCTCAGGCAAGATGGGCTCCCCTCTGCGCCTGCAGCGTCATCGTTATTCTGCGGCAAACACTTGCAGATAGCATTTCGCTGTGTCCTGACCAAGTTCGCAGCTCTCGTACGCAAGCCAAGGTGGGCGGATGGTTCCGCGCCTGCATCACATATGAATTGCCCTGTGCGATTAATGCGGGCTCCGCTCGTTCGATTCGAGCCCGGGCCCATCCATGAGATCGAACAACGGTTTTTTTTCCCCATCCCATTCATTGGCGACTTCCCTGTGTATTCAGATTCGCATGTATAAAAGCACGGCCTGGTAGCGGATGGTTTGCGCAGCTGCCCTCGATTCGGCGGATGACAACACCTTTGTCCGCAGGACGTCGCTCGTTCGATTCGAGCCCAGGCCGTCCCTCTTCTTCGGTCTTTTTAATCAGAGAAGATTCAACCGTGAGGTCAATTTCAATGCCGATATATTCAACCTCGCAAATACGAAATCGAGGCCCGGTAGCGGACGGTTCCGCACCTACACTCTATGTGTCGACTCCAAAGGTTTCCGCAGGATCGATCGTTCGACTCGGGCCCGGGCCATGAGTGGATCTGTTGTGGACAACTTTTTTTCCATCGACTTCCCTCGTTTATTTAGATTCGCAGATATGTATTGGTTTCTGCACCTTTTTGTTTTGGCCGGGATCCCCGTGTGAGCTATTTCAATTCCAATGCTAATCTACTTATGTTCCCAGGTCCCAGACAGAAGGCCCGGTTGAGGATGGCTCCGCACCTCTACTCTGTAATTGTACTTCCTAATTTCTCCAAGAGTGCGCTCGTTCAACTCGAGCCCGGGCCATCATCTTGCGCTTTCAGTGTTTTTGTTATCATTTGGCCAGCACCCACGGGTGAGTTGTTTCTATTCAAATGCTCAGATATCTATGCCCCAGGTATGGCCTGACAGCGGACGGTCCCCGCCTCTACTGTCTCAGTCTGTGATTGTGTTGCCCGCATTTTAAACCTTATTTTTATTTCGCCAACACCCAAGGGTAGGCTATTTCAATGCGAATGCTAATCTGCTTGTGTTCCCAGGTCCCAGAAAGACTGCCCGGTAGCGGATGGTCCGCTCCTTTGCTCTGTGAGTATGTGGTCCGCATTCCTACAGGAGATCGCTCGTTCGACTCGAGGCCGGACCATACATTCTGCCTGTGCTGTTTTTACTTGACAAGGTTCATGCATGATTTAAATTCGCATGGTTCGTAGGTACCACAAGGAGGCCCGGTAGCGGGGGCTTCGCACCTGCAACAGATTTGCCACGGATGATTCAATGGCTTCTGCAGGAATCACTCGTTCGATTCGGGCCCGGGCCATCCCCACCAAAATTCCCATTATTTTTAGATCTCGCGACAACTTTTCGTGTTGTACGGATCACTCTTTTCACTGAACGGCAAGTTCAAATTGAATTCAGATTTATTCAAGTTCGCGACTACGAAATAAAGGCCCGGTAGCGGACGGTTTTCGCACCTGCACTCGATATCTCGGTACAATGTGGGTACGGGAGTTTCCGCAGGATCACTCGTTCGATTCGAGCCCGGGCCATGGCCATGTTTGTGAAGTTTTATTTTATTTTTCATCTCATTCATTGATGACTTCCTTAACGCATTCATGTTTTGGAGGAGGCAATGAAGGCCTGGTAGCGGATGCTTTCCGTACCTGCTGAACCATTATGTCAACCTCTTTATCCACAGGCAATCGCTCGTTCGATTTGGTTGAGCCCAGCTCGATATACGATACAATCGTTACCGCAGGATCGCTCGTTCGACTCGAGCCCGGGTCATGGATCGCTAGATAATTGAACTCGTATACTCCGGAGGAGAACCACACCTGTCCAAAAATAAGCACGTCAATAGGATAGAATCGCGAAGTTGAGGGAGTCGGGGACAGCTCCGGATGGCCGTATTGCACGACAATTATTATATACATCCCGTTGCATATTGTACCGTGTGACCGAAATCCAGACACCACACGAACGCAACCTACATCCAGTCCGTGAGCGAGGACATGGAAGGCAGGAAAAATCACTCACCATGTATTTGAGGAGAGATGGTCATTGGGAAAACGAACGTGGTAGACGGCCACCTGTGGACTCCAAGAATCTAGTAAGTACGCTGCTATCGGGGCAAGTTTCGGGTCGCACCTGGATCGTGACGGCCCCAAAAAGAAAGACTGCGAAAACAACACCGAGTGCGTCGAACTCTAAAGCGGACATGAAGGAGTCTGAGGGGAGAGTGTTTCTCCCAATGTCTTGAAACGGCAAGATAATAAACGAAAAATCGACGGCTTAAATTCGAAAGCATCAATCAGGATATTCCGACAAAGTAAATGTCTAAAGTAAATGTCACAGTGGAATACCTCAGCGGCCGTCTGAAGCAATCAAAGTGTGGGATGCCGACGAAAAAGTGTGAAAGAGGGACGCGAGAATGGGTGCCAGGGACTATCGCCCACAAATGCATGATCTAGTCATAAGAGACGCCCGTCCACCTTCTAATCCAATGCTACCTAATTTGGGTTGATTACTCGGGCACATGCCACATGGGAACGACATCGACAACCGCTGAACACCTTGTGGAAATAAAGTGATAGGTACCAGCTGTCATAAGCAAGCCGGTTGTCCGTTCAAATGCCGCAGTCGCAGAAAAACGATGCTGTATTTGCCTTGACTTGCGCGGCCATTGAGCGTCTCTGGGGTAAATGGCCGGACACATCCAAATCTTGACCGGGTCTTGTGCCAGGCACATAATTGCCCTGGGATCCGCTTCGACCAGCCCGAGTCAAGGGGACACTGAACGCAGAAGTTGGGGTAGTGTTTCACTTTTTGAAACCGAATTTACGGGTGCTCGTCAGCTGCAGAGTCGCAGATCCAGTGCACGGGAAACGAAGGTCGCCTGGTACGGATAGAATTATTTACTCTTTGGCCCTGCATTGACACTTGAGCAAATAGCAATAATAAGTGCGCGACGCAAAATATAGAGAAGAACCACGTTAACAACGTACGTACGCGGTTTGTTCAAAGTCGATCTCTGCAATCTAGATGCCGCTGAATGAAAAGATTGATGAGATATAGCCAGGATTATCGGAGGCCGTATTCTCTCACCATACTATATAACTCCCTTAAAGCTGGTAATTAGGCGTACTCTGATCTGATCTGATCAGACAAGCGGCAATCGACATAAGGCACCGGGGCTCGGGAAGCACACTGCGCCAAATAATAAATGAAGGAGTTAATTCCCAAATCGCTACTGACACACAGGTAGCTTGACTTGCATGTCCGGCTGGGTTGGTGAAGGAGAAAAGTCGCATCAGTTCCGCCATCAGCATTTGATGCTAAATGCCAATCGTTGCACAGTGGATGCACGGTTGGACACCGTCGTAAGCTTTTTTTTTCACCAAAAAAAAACCCCTTTTTTTCTCAGACCCTTCTAAACTTGCTTCTAAACGCATTTTCGAATATTTTCCAAAAGTGAAACAAACGGACCCCCTGCTAGGTGATGTCTCGGCATCTTCCGACGATCATCCTTTGATCGGATAACTTACAAGTCTCCGCCATCTCCGTGGATTCAGATTAAGATCTCTTCACACTATGGCCGACTTCTAAACTCGTTACCAGTCTGCCGGAATACAACACACATCTGCCCAGCACTATTGAAGTCGGCAGCCTGATACTTCCATTTCTCTTCCGTCCGGCGCCAAATGCGAAGCAGATTTTTCCGTAAAGGCTGCAGCTTATGGTTAATATCCGTGTTCCTTAGGACGGCCATACATTGGAGTCGAGTCTCACATTCATTGCGCTCGCCGAGCTAACCGAACCTTGTGTCATCAGGCAAGTGAAAAAAAAAAAAACGACTGAATTTCAAACTCCCAATACACCGGAGGACGTGTCTGCCCGCCACCTAATATTTTGGTCTATTCCTGTCCGCACTCCTAATTTGGCCCCACGTCAACGTGTGCTCCGTCAAAAATTGCACTTCTGCCGTGTTTAACCTCCGTGCTGTCTGTCACATATTAATCTCCACCTGAACTTCAGACCAAATTAGTGCATAAAGACGACGATCTTGACCTTGAGGCCGCCAATTTCGCGGTGCTCATCTACCTTACGGAGTTCGGCCTTCTACTAGCAACAGGTGACCGCGGAATCATGTCCATCCGACTAATCGTCCGGTCAGAGAATATTCTGCAGGGGAGAAAGATAGTGCCTCGGAAGAGAAGGAGTTACAGCAATAGTATTAGGTGAACGGGATAGTCGGCAGGGCAACGACGTTCAAAGTGTACTCCACATACGCCCACCGTGTCGTTCTCGACCTCCGCCGGCGTTGCTCTAGGAACAAGGCATCTATCTGTAACGCGTGTTCTGTTGGAGATGCCTGCCCAGATTGGCGCCCCGGATTTGTTTATTTAGCTCACTAGTGTTGCCGAGGCGGGTTGGTTGTTCTCCACGAGATGATCATCCCAATTATAGATCTCTTCAAAATGACTGAGGTTATGAGCATCAGGGCGTTCATAAATGTTTTGTATTAAATTTTTGTGGTACCGTTTAGGATAATTGGGGCAGTTAAGTATGGATACACGATGTCTTAGGAGCATAGTAAAGTGTCTGTGACTAAGAGTCGTACGCGATGGCGTGAAAATTAAATTGATGGGGGTAGTTGCGAGTCAACGCGGCTCCCCGTGCCTGCGCAAAAAATCCTGGTGGGAGGGTCCCATCTGCGCAGAGTTTCCCCTCCATGTTGTAACGGGGGGAAGGTAACCAGGCGAGGGAGGTGACTGTACCTCCTGCCACCCGCCACAGCGGGAACACCGCCTCATCGGCGGGGAGGTGGAGAGAGGGAACCGCGATCGGGCTGGGAGTGGAAACGGTGTCGATTGAGAGGAATCTGTCGAGGCTCCGGTTTTCGCGTCTAGAGCGCAACGGCAGGATGGATACGGGGAGCGTCCTTCTGTGGGCAGATGATGGATTGTCAGTTATCTCGGTATCGACGAATAAAATTGGAAAGAATTTACGGGGTTGCGTATCGTTTATCTTGGCTGTTTTCGGCGTAACTCCATCCGATGTTCCCTCCACATGCTCGGCGAGGGTGGGTGATGGGAAAGACGCATCCGCAGACTGCGAGTACCATCGTTTGGGGTCTGGAAGTGGGTGGTTATGTTTGAATACGTCCAGCGACGCGTTCCGCGGGTTGTGCTTTAGGACCCCGAACAAGTAATTATTGTCCGGGTCGTGGACTTGCGGCGCTCTGCGCGGCTCGGTAGGAGGTTGTGGACGTCTCGGAGGAAAGTGCTCAGGGAACATGTCGCGGATTCCCGGCAGTATCTTGAAATCGGGAGTCTGATTGGCGGGCATGGTGGGGTGGTGGAGGAGAGTTGG